TCGTTTCCTGGGCTTTATCCTTAGATTACGCATTTCTGGGAACATCCTGGATTATATTTTTGCTCTGAAACCATTTTAATTTTAGCATTGTCTGCTGCTGTGGTTATACTGTGTCCTCCAAAAGGACATGTTGAAGTACTAACCCCTGGTACCTGTGTCTTTGCAGAGGTAATCAGGTTAAAATGAGGTAATCAGGGTGGGTCCTGATCCAATATGACTAAGTGCCCTGACAAAGAGAAGAGACAGCAGAGACATATGGGAAGATATCATGGGCATGTCGCATGATGACAGAGGGGGAGATTGGAGAGATGTGGCTGCAAACCAAGGATTGCCAGCAGCAACCAGAAGCCAGAAAGGGCAAGGAAGGACTCTACCCAGGGTCTCAGAGGGAGCATGGCTCTGCTGCCTCCATGATTTCAGACTTCTGGCTTCCAGAGCTGTGAGAAAATAAATCTCTGTTATTTTAAGCCACCTAGTCTGTGGTGCTTTGTCACAACAGCCCTAGTAAATGAACACATTGACCATATGGAGAGCTTGTGGATCTTCAAAACCATATTAAGTGCCAGGTCCTTCATGTTAAAAGCTCTTTCCTTGAGGTTCTCTCTCTCTTCTTGCACGTCACTATAAGCTGCAATAAGAAGGCAGGCAGCATCTTCAGCTTGCAGGATGGACATCTCCTTCACTGGATCGCCTCATTGATTGGGTACATTTTCGACTTTCTACATAACTTCAGGCAACAGTGTTGCTACAGCTCTGCCACTACAGAACAAGGATCCTCTTCCTTCATTTTCCAATAATTTTACCTCACTTTCCCACAAGTACTCACCTACAGTTTAAGACCGTAAAGGTTTCTGGTAACCCTTTCTTCAAGCCATTTTAAGCTTCCACTAGGACTGTTCTCAAAGCTCATTGCACAGCTGCAAAGCCACACTCCCACTGAGGCTTTTGTTATGTCAGCACCCAACCTTTGGGTACCCAAATCCGGATTAGGTGTCTGTTGCTGTGTAACAACCTGCCCCAAACCCAGTGGATTAAAACACCAAACATTCATTATGTACACAGTTTTCAAAGTCTGGGAATCCAGAAGCTGCTTGATAATGTGGTTCTGGCTCAGGGACTCTCATGAGGTTGCAGCGAGTGTTGACTGTCCCATGCTTGCAGTCTGTGAAGCTGTGACTGGGGCTGCAGGTTATGCTTCCAACATTACCCATGTGGTTGTGGGCAGGAAGCTTCAGTTCCTTGCCACCTGGGCCTCCCCATAGGGCATATTTATGACATGGTTTTGCCCAGAGTTATTAGAGATAGGGAAAGAGAGATAGTGCAATAGAGTGACCAATATGTGTCATAATGTTTTGTATCTGGAAGAAACATGCCATTATTTCTGCTGTATGTCACACAGATCAACTCTGGTACAGCACGGGAGAGAACATTCAAGGGTGCAAATATCAGGAGAAAGGATTATTGGAGGGGGTCCATCTTGGAGGACAAAATGTATTCTGTACACACAGGCTTATGGTTATGGGGTCATCATTTTGCTTTTCTAGTTAATGCTTTTGATAAAATTAATATTACCAACTAGTAGAGGCTGAATCGTGTATCTAAATTTAAACATTGATGTCCCAACTCCTAGTACATCAGGATGTGACGATATTTAGAGACGGGAGTCTTGAGATAGGTGATTCGGTTCAAATGAACCTGTTACAGTGGGGCCCTAATGCGATATGTCAGTATTCTTATAAGAAGAAGGGCACCAGGGGTGTGGGTGCATGGATGGATGGCCGTGAGAGGTAGCAAGGGGGCAGCCACTGCAAGCCAAGGAGAGAGGCTCCAAGAAAACCAACCCCTTGGGAAACTTGATCTTGAACTTCCAGCCCCAGAACTGTGAGAAAATAAATTTCCGTTGTTTAAGGCACTCGGTCTGTGGCATTTTCTCAGGGCAGCCCCGTCTAACTAATATAACAATCTTTTGAGAGATATCTGAAAATATCTTGCTTTTGCCAACACACATTTACTCATTGTTTACTTTTGAAAATCTTTTAAAATATCATTTTTGTTTTGATATGTATAGTTATACATCAACGCATATAATTAGATTTGTTTCTATCACAGTGTGTAATCTAATCTAATCTGAGAGTCTGTGCTTTTACTAGGAGGATTGAAACCTCTTTTATTTCATATTATAGTCCATTTTAAATCTAATCCCCCACTTTCCAGAGGTGGGAGCTGGAGGGATTTATGGCTCTCTAGGATGAAAATGTATCAAAAGCTGCCTCTCCACTGCTTATTGTGGACTGACTTAAGGGATCATATTGTAATGGAAATGTTGTTTTCAAAGAATTACCAGATCAACTTAGTTCAAGATCAAAGCATTAATCTTTTGGGGTCGGAGAGAGGGGTCTTGAATTGAGCCAAATTAGAAGAGACAAAGGAGATATCACAATTAATGGGAAACAGATTTAGGGAAGCAATCCCAGAGAAATTCTCAAACCAAGGAGCAATTCGCAGTGGGAACTTTTTAACCAGCTCTCCTGGCCTTGGTGTGGGTTCACTTAAAGCAGCCGCACTGGAGTGTCTTTGAGTCTCCTAAGAACATGCTTTCTGATTTGTTCTTTGCTCTGCTCTGATTACACAAACTTCTGGACACTTGTTTATCTTCATTGCTTTGTCTGCCGCAGTGATTTGGAAAACAAGCATTCTGTGTTCAGTAGTTAGGTTAGCTTTCAATTTAATAAAACATATCTATTTCTCTAGTAACTAGAGAAACATAACCTATGTTTCTCTAATTACTAAAGTCAGAACAAAACAAGGTCTTTTGTTTACCCTGTAATTAAAGTAAGAAATTCAGCATGTTTTTACTTTGTCTTTCATCTTACCTTAAAAATAGTACAGACTATTACAGAACCAGTTTATCAAGTTTTTTTAAAAAATAATTTTTTTTCCAAAAAAATATTTTTAGTTTCCATATTTAATTTTAGGACTTCTAAAAAAATTTTTTGAGACAGGGTTGTTGTCCATGCTGGAGTGCAGTGGTGCAAGCTCAGCTCACTGCAACCTCTACCTCCCAGGCTCAAGCGATTTTCCTGCCTCAGACTCCTGAGTAGCTGGGACTACTCAGTTACTTTTTTTGAATTTTTTATAGAGATGAGGTTTTGCCATATTGCCCAGGCTGGTCTCAAACTTCTGAGTTAAAGCAATCTGCCTGCCCTGGCATCCCACAGTGCTGAAATTGCAGGCATGAGCCACCGTGCCCAGGCAATTTTGTGACTATTTTTTGAAAACACATAGTACCACCAATCCTTTTATATCTTGACTTTCTTATTTTTGAGTTATTCATTTTGATTCTGTGTCCTATGGAGTAAGTTTTAAAATAATTTTTTAATGAAGACTATATTAGTGAAATTGCTTCTGATTCTTAGATATCTAAAAATATATTTCCAGAGCCTGTACTCAGGGATTAAATTTGGCTTGCAACATTATGCTTAGATAACAAAGATTCCTCTTTAGAGGAATACTTATTACTCCATTTGGAGCTAGTGAATGACAGCAGGTAGCCTAATTTTTTCTCTTTTTGAGTAAACTATTATTTTCTGTCTTGTTGCTCACATACTGTTCTCTTTATTCTAGATTTTTCATCTATGTCCAAGCATAAGCCTTTTTTCCCATTAGCGTAGGATTTTTTTTACATAAAGGAAATTCTTTTTCTACTATGTCTGTGATTATTATTTCTGCTCCTTTTGTTCCAGCACTTCCAGTGATATTTGTTATTCATAGGTTAGATTTCTACCACTTCAAGCTGTCTCTATGTTCTTTCTTGCCATGTCATTTTCAGCCTTTTCTTCTACAGTCTTAGAAAACAGTTCCCAGATTGCATTGTTAATTCTGCTCTTTACTGCAACTGTAGCATTTTTCCTTTTGGATACATCCATCTCTTATTTTGGCTGGCTCCATGTTTGATATGTGGAGGATATGTGGAATGATTTAAATCCACCTGAATGTGTTCTTGGGGTCTGGTGGAGCCTCACCTCAGATCTATGCCTGGGGAATAAACTGATTTACACAATTCCTACCCTGGCTTCCTGCAGGTTCTCTCATCCAGTGTAGCTGCGTTCCACAAAGGTGGATCTTGGCAGCTTTCTGCTTCCAGGGGCACTTCTGTTTCCAGAGCATTTCCTAAGAGAATATCCATCCCTATGTACCACCCATCCTTTTCCCTTCTACCCCTGCTGTGTTGTACTTGGAGACGTGACCTTGAAGTTGATATAAAAAGGGGTGAATTGGAGGGGAAGAGTTGCAGGAACCCAATTCTGGCCTTCTTGGAACCTAATTACCATGCAGAAGGAGAGAAGCAATCTGGACTCTGGTTACAGCAGCCCTGAACCGCTGGCCTGGACAGAGAGAGGGAGGAGTAAAGCCTTTTCCTGAGATCCCATTGGCTATTCTGTGCTGGATCAGAAGATGAAATAGATATTGCTAGGGTGGACAGTGATCCTTCAAACCAACCTCACTGGTACTGAACTTGGTGGAAATTCCCTCTATATTTCTATCAATGCTGACACAAGGTTTTATGCTTTTGCAGAGCTTCGTAGGGATTTTCATAGGAGACAGAATGCATCTTAGACCAACCCAATGTTAATTTTTACATATGCCTGATGCAGTTCCCCTCCCTGCCTTAGAGAACAAGGTACTCTTCATAGATATAAAACAATTATTTTTTAACTCCTATATGGGCTGAAAATTATACCACTCATCAACTCCCATGGCAGCCACATGATGCTTACAGGTGGAATTCTACAAGACGACCTAAGGGCAGTTAAAGAGAAACATCTGGCCTCTGCAGCAAGCACCACTATCATGCAAAATGGTCTGTAGGAGCTCTAGTCACTTCCAGAAACTTGTCATTAAGCTGACTCATCTTCTACTAAATTTAACAGATAGTTCACCAGCAAGGATATCCCTTAAACACATGTCAAAAGGAAAAATATAACACAGTTTATCTTTACCTTATAATAAATTCTGACCACCAAACTCCGCTGAAGAACCTGTTCATGAAATTTCACTGCTTTCAACAGAAAGGCGAGATTATAGACTGTGTCCGTGTTAAATGCCAGGAAACTGGAGGAAAAGCACAGTGACCATCATTATTATTTTGGCCTTATCAAAGAATTTCATTTGAAAGAAATAGAGTGGGCTTGTTTTTTCAAAAATATTTTTTTCTATAGAAAAATAGTGTCAATATATATAATCTCCCTATGCCATCTCTCACTGACTGCATTCATAATTCTTTTAAGTAATTTTCTGATAAATGCTTAGCTCAAGTTTATTCTAAGTGGTTGTCCTGTGTCCTTGTATAGAGATTGTTTGGTTTCCTAATTTTTCCACTTACTATTGTATTATAAGTAGTGTTCAATATTTTACATAGTCTTTCTTAATTAATAGCTAAACAATTTCTATGAAGTATAACTCAGGCATTATATAATTCATGTATAATTCAACCATTATACAATTCTTTTTTTTTTTTTTCAGATAACATCTCACTCTGTTCCCCAGGCTGGACTATAGAGGCATGATCTCAGGTTACTACCACCTCTACCTCCGAGGTTCAAGAAATTCTCCTGCCTCAGCCTCCCAAGTAGTGGGGATTACAGGCGTGAGCCATCATGCCTGGCTAATTTTTGTATTTTTAATAGAGATGGGGTTTTACCATGTTGGCCAGGCTGGTCTTGAACTCCTGACCTTGAGTGATCTGCCTGCCTTGGTCTAACAAAGTGCTGGGATTACAGGCATGAGCCATCGTGCCCAGTCCCCACCATACAATTCTGTCAAGTGAGACTATAATAACCACTGCTGGGTATTTATTATAATTATTATAACTGGATATTAATAATCAAATATATCTGTTACAAAGTATTTGTCAATGAATATTTATTAAATATATTATATATCAGGAATTTGGCTCATTATTTGCTGTGAATTATTCAATTTTATCAATAATTCTAGAATACTATAATTATCCCATGTAAAGTTCAGGAAACTGAGGCTCAGCAAGATTTGGTAACTTGCTCAAGGTCACACAGGCAGAACTCAGTCAAGCTCAGATTTTGTTAAGGAACATCAGTATTTAAAGCAAGAGGCACCCTGGAGGGAAGTGAGAGGGCCATGGACAAGCACAGGCAAGGGTGTGCCACAGAGATGGTGGCTTTCTTCAGCAGGCAGCAATTCCCATCTTTCCCATTTGGCAAATGAGAAAACTGAGGCACAGAGGAGTTAAGAGATGTAAGCACAGACTCAAAACAAGCAAGTTCTCCTTAAAATCTTGTCAGCTTTTCATCATGAAACTCTGTATTTCATGCTGACTTTCTGGACCCACCATGAACCTTTAGATAGCACAGACAATCAGGGGAAGGGTTAATTCACACTTAGGGTTTCCCATAGCGCTGCCGCCTCTTGCCCTCCCCTTTCCCCACTTCCTGAGGAAATAAGTTATTATAAGACCCAAGTAACTTAAATTCACATTAACTAAAAATAAAAAACCCAAGTGGCTGTTGTTGCTTAATCAGAAGGCATGAGAGAAACGTTAAGAAACAACTGATGTAGTGCTTTTGAGAATGCCAAGTGCTGAATTACTAATCACCCTCCATTTAGACAGGGAAGAGGGAGGTATTTACATACCAATTACGAGGAAATTTAAATGATGTCAATGTTTATTCTGCATCTGGGCTTTAAGAAGATTGGGTTTCTGCCTCAGTCTATTTAATAAAAGATATAAAGAACTTCCATATATTATTATTGAAAAGTATGTTTTAGTCATCCAGGGGCCATTATTGGAAACTAGCTTTCCTGGAGTACAGATGGTAGAACATGTTTGTCAACCTGAGGTTGTGAACTGCATGTGCTTCAGGAAGGGGCTCTCACCCACTCACCTAGTCACGTGAGTCACATGTTACATAGCTCCAGGAACCCGCCCACTGCAGATGAGTGTGCAGACTCTCTTTAAAAACAGGAACATCGCTAAAGGCAATCTCCTTGTAACTGCGTATTTTACAAGAAGATTCAAATGACTCTATTTTTAAATAAAGTTTACATTAAAATATATATCATTAGTCATCAGGGAAATGCAAATGGAAACCACGGTGAGGTGGCCTTATACATCCACCAGAATGACTAAAATTAAATACACTGACATGAAGTGTTGCTGAGGATCTGGAGAAAATAGAACTCTCATGCTTGCTGATGGGAGTGTAAAATGGTAAAATCACTTTGCAAAAATTGTCACAGTTTCTCATAAAACTAAATGCACACATACCCTATGATCTAGCAGTTCCATTCCTACTATTTGTCTAAGAGAAATAAAAACATATATTCACCAAAAGGTTTATATAAGAATGCTCATAGCAGTTCTACTCACAGAAGTGAAAAAGCTGCAAACATCCCAGGTGTCTATTCATCAGTAAGAGAATGGAAAACAAATTCTACTATATCCATAAAGTAAAATACTGCAACAATGAAAAGGAACAAGCTAATCCAAACAACAACATGAGTGAATGTCAGAAAGTATTATGCCAAGTTCATGAGGGAGCCTCAAAAGAGTACATACTGCATGGTTCCATTTATGTGAAGTTCTAGTGCAGAAAAACTCATCTGTAGTGGGAAAATATCAGAACAGTGGCTGTATCCGGGTGTTTAAGATTGACCAAGAAGGGACCTGAAGGAACTTTCTGGAGTGATATCTTAATACAAGTTTGGTTACATAGGTAAATGTATTTGTCAAAACTCAGTGAATGTACGCTTAAGATTTATGCATTTTATTGTATGTAATTTCTACATAAGAAGAAAAAGAATTATAACTAAATATGTAACTCTAAAGATGATCATGCTAAATTATTTAGAAATATGCTGATGTCTACAGTTTACTTTGAAATGGATCAAAACGAGAAGATGAATGGATGGGTGAGTTCCATACATGAATCCATAGATGTGATAGTGATAGGTCAGGTACAGTAATAGGTTAATGTAATCTCCATGGTTTGTACTTAAATGCCTCCTATAAAATTATGTCAACTTTGCTGAATATTTGTAAATTTTACAGCATAATGTAGAAAAACATCTTGGGTGCAAGGCAAAATCTTGACTTTTCTGGACACCTACCACCACCTCCTAAAGGTCCACAGGCTGATGAGAACAGGAAGGGCCCCAGTGGTAGGGAGTGAGGCAGCCCTTACAGGGACAAGCCAAGGCTGAATGGGGCTGTCTGCAGAGCCAGGTACAGCCCCTTCTCAGAGCCATTTCCTTCCAGGGCTCTTCTCACTGCCATGTTCCATCTGCCTTATCTGGTCCCATGGAAGCTTTTCAGTACCCAGATGAGGGGTAGTTGCTGTATGGACAAATGAGCGCCCATTGGAGGGATTTGAGGGTACTAGTAAGTTCTCAGCCCATCTTTTCTCAGGTGCCAACCTGCTCAAGAGTACTTTTCATGGGGCTGTCACTATGTCTACCATCCTACTGCTCTAGGAATGCAGACTCCTTGAAGGCAGAGCCCCTAGTAACTGCTGGTCACCAATGAGTTAAGAAGTGCCCAGTACACAGTGAGTGCTGAAAACACATTGATGACAAAGGCTTCTTTCACATAAAAGTCAGAGTGAGTAAAGTTTTGGGATTTGAGTGGATAAACACAGAGACTGAATCAGTAAAACCTAGATGTGTGGGAGAGAGATGTATACTGTTTTGGAGGTTAATAACTCAGACAAAAATAAATGGACTGGAACTTTCCAAGTATTTACAATTGGAATACTGCCTTTGGCACATCTCAACTCTGTCCTGGAAAATGTGCTAGGAATATAGATTTGCATATGGGTGAGAGCATGTCATGCTTCCAAAATGATGGAAACAAGCCTTGCTCTGCTATCTGAAAAAGAAATGAAAGGGTAGATGATTTGCGGCCAGTTGGGGAACAAGTTTCCTGCAAGGATGGAATTGATTCTGGTGGGGAGTTGTACTATTCTTTCAATTCCTTAATATATTGGACAATTTTCAAACTAATACATTGGGGGAAAAGCTATCCATACTATACACTTCCCACTCAGAGCTAGAAATATTAGGAAGACCCACTAACTCTAGAGTGTGAGGACAAATGGAGACATTAAAACTAAGAGAGACTCCAGTGAAACAGTCCTAACACGTAGGAGCTTTTGTTTTTAAGCTTTAAGATGGACCACAGTTTGAATAAACAGGTCCTGAGCAGCAATAAAAAAAGAAAAAAAAATAGATTACAGATTTCTCAATTTTACTTCATTCCAATGTCTATAAAAAATCCCAGACAATCATTTGTTGTGTTTTCCATGTGTTTAATCAGGATTGTGAGATTATGTTTTCTAATAAATAGTTTCCTCAGAAACTAGTGCAATACATTTGGACTTGGGGGACCAATAATCTCATTCAAAATACAAATAATAATTTAAAAATACACAAAAGGAAAAAGCATAATAAGCTCTCTAAAAGTAATAAAGGAGATAATACATTCAAAGGCATAAATCAGTGAAATAGAAAACGAAGGAACAACAGAAAGGATCAAAGGGAAAAGCCGGTTATTTGAAAAATAACAATAAACCAGACAAACATCTGATGAGATTGAACAATAACAAAAAAAAGAAGGCACAAGGCAGCATTTTAGAAATGACAAATGAGACACTACTACAGATCTAGCAGAAGTTAAAAAGATAATCATAGAATAGTACACAAAAAATCTTATACCAATAAAATCAAAACCAAGTCAATAAATTCCTCAAAAAATACAATTTACTTAAACTGACATGAAAAGAAAAGCCTAGTCTTTAAACAATTAAGCTAATTAAATAGTTTAAAATACTCCTAAGCCCAGATTCTTTTCAAATAACTTATCAAATTCTTCCATGGAATAAGAAACCACTCCCAAAATAACTCTATGAGAGCTGTGACACTGACGTAAATCTAAATCAACAATGTACAAGAATGGAAAACTATAAATATACAATAAAATTCTCCCAAAGAACTCACAAGACAAATCCAGGAAAATATAAATATGATAATACAGCAAAATAAAATCGAATGTTTCTTAATCATACAAGGGTAGTTTAACATTAGATGATTTGCAAAAGTTATTCATCAAACTAACAAAATAAAGAAATATACAATCATTTTAACAGATACAGAAAAATATAATTTGATAAAATTAATCTGGTAATGACAAAAATAACTTTAAAATGTATAAGCCTCTTTAGGAAGTAAAGTGTGTCTATGAAAAATTTCAGCAAACATCATTTTTAGTTGTGAAATATTAAACTAATTATTTAGGAAACTAGCAATAAAAGTCTGGGAGAGGTGATTCATGCCTGAAATTCTAGCACTTTGGGAGGCCAAGGAAAAGAGACTGCTTGAGATCAACAGTTCAAGACAAGCCTGGGCAATGAAGACTGACACTGACTCCAAAAATAAAAATAAAAAACATTAGCTGGGTGTGGTAGTGTATGCCTATCATCCTACCTACTCAAGAGGCTGAGGTAGAAGGATAGCTTGAGCTCAGGAGTTGGAGGTTACAGTGAGCTATGACATTCACGCCACTGCACTCCAGCCTGGGGAACAGAGTAAGACCCTCTCTCTAAAATTAAAATCAGCAATAAGACGAAAGAACACCCTGTAAGATGGCGTCTATTCAAATTGTGTTGGTGGTCCTATCTCTTGCTGTGAGACATGAAAAGAATAAAAGAAACAACAGTTGGAAAGGAAGAAATAAAACTTCATAATTTACAAATGATTATCTATGGAAAAAACCTCCAAAGAATCTATAGACACATTTAAAAGAAATTTCTGTACAGTCAGCTTTATACACAAAAGCCAACTGCATATATAATAAACCATTAACTATAAAAAAATCACAATTTAAAAATATTCTTTTAATAACAAAATAATAAAGTAACTAGTAATAAGTCTATGAAAGGATATACTAGGTATGGAAAAAATTATAAAACCCTGAAGGATACTTTGAAGATGAAAATCTTTGAGAAGAAGGCCTGCTTTATAAATATGTCAAATTTTTTACAAATCTATAGATTTAATATACTTTCAAAGAAACTTTCAGCAGGTTTTCAGGCTTGTGGTAAAATACAAATAACAAAATATTTATCATTTTCACCGTTTTTTTTTGAGTTGGAGTTTCACTCTTGTTGCCCAGGCTGGATTGCAATGGTGCAATCTCAGCTCACTGTAACCTCTGACTCCTGAGTTCAAGAAATTCTCCTGCCTCAGCCTCCCAAGTAGCTGGGATCACAAGCATGTGCCACCAGGCCCAGCTAATTTTGTATTTTTAGTAGAGGCGGGGTTTCACCATGTTTCCCAGGCTGGTCTCGAACTCCTGACCTCAGGTGATCCACCCATCTCAACCTCCCAAAGTGCTGAGAATACATGTGTGAGCCACTGTGGCCTGCCCATTTTAACATTTTTTAAGTGTACAACTCAATGATATTAAGTACATTCACATCATTGTACAACCAACACCACTATTCATCTCCACAACTTTTTCATCTTCTCAAACTGAAACTCTGTACCTACAAAACAATAACTACCAATTCTCTTCTCTTATTTGCCCCTGGGAACCAACATTCTACTTTCTATCTCTACAAATTAGACTACTGTAGATATGTCATATAAGTATAATCCTACAATATTCATCCTTTGTTTTATTTCTAAGAAATGACAAACTGATTGCAAAACTTAAATGAAATGGCCAAAGATCCTGAACGGCCAACACAATCCTGAATTACATTTCGAATATAATAATATAATGTAATACTACAGTAATATTTTGTTTTAAAGTCAGAGTGATTATAACCGTGTATTGTTGGATCAAAAATATACAAAAAGACTAAGAAAATAATAGTCCCAGAATGAATTCCCAAATACATGGAGATTTAATAAATGCCAGAGGAGACCGTGCAGATAACTAGTAAAGAATGTCCAATTCAGTATATGATGCCAGAACAAATGACTGTCCCTAAAGGTAAAAAATAAAATTAGATCCCTTCCTCAAACCATGCACAAAAATGTCTATGTATTCAATAATTAAATGTAAAAGGTGAGACTTTCAAACTTTTAAAGATGTAGATTTCATGACCTCAGAATAGATGATGCAGAAAGTGTTGGATATAAAAGAAAATATCGATAAGTTTGAGTATAATTAATGAATTTATTTCAATCAATCAAAAGACACCATAAAGAAAATATGAAAACGCTGGACACAGTGGCTAATATCTGTATTCCCAGCACTTCGGGAGGCCAAGGCAGGTGGATCACAAGGTCAGGAGATTGAAACAATCCTGGCTAACATGGTGAAACCCCATCTCTACTAAAAATACACACACACACACAAAATTAGCCAGGCATGATGACATGTGCCTGTAGTCCCAGCTACTTGGGAGGCTGAGGCAGAAGAATCACTTGAACCCAAAAGGTCGAGGTGGCAGTGAGCTGAGATCACACCACTGCACTCTAGCCTGGGCAACAAAGTGAGACTCCATCTCAAAAAAAAAAAAAGAAAGAAAATATAGGCTGGATGTGGTGGCTCAAGCCTGTAATCGCAGCACTTTGGGAGGCTGAGGCAGGTGGATCACCTGAGGTTGGGAGATCAAGACCAGTCTGACCAACATGGGGAAAGCCTGTCTCTACGAAAAAAATACAAAATTAGCCAGGTTTGGTGGTGGGTGCCTATCATCCCAGCTACTCAGGAGGTCAAGGCAAGAGAATCACTTGCACCTGGGAGGCAGAGGTTGCAGTGAGCCAAGATCGCTCCATTCCAGTCCAGCTTGGGTGACAAGAGTGAAACTCTGTCTCAAGAAAAAGAAAAAAAAAAAAAAAAGAAAAAGAAAAGAAGAAAAAAGAAAACATGAGACAAGCCACAAACATATAAAAGATAATTAAAGTATTTACAATAACAAAGGATAAAGATCCCTTAAATATCAATAAGAACAAGACACACACATGTACATACACACACACACACACACACGCAAAATAAAAATAGGCAGAAAACATTAACAGGCATTTCACATAGAAAGAAATACAAATGGCAAACAGACCTGTGAAATCATGCTCATCCTTAAGAGTAATCAGAAAAATTCAGTTTAAAGTCAGGGTGAGGGATCATTTCTTATCCTGTATTGACAAAAATTAAGAAGTCTGATAGTACCAAGTGTTGAAGAGAATAGAATATGGGTCCACAAGACACATGCTGCTAATGGAGGTATAAATTTATACAATCACCGTGAAAAGTCATTTGTCACTATCTAGTAAAGTTAAACATTACTCAGTAACACAACAATTCCACTCCTAGGTAATATAGTCCATAGGGGAGAGTTTTTCAAACAAGAGACTGCAAATAACTAATAGGTCATAAAATCAGTTTAAGGGTTGGGGTCAGTATATTTTTTTAGGCAGGATCTCACTCTGTTGCCCAGGCTCGAGTGCAGTGGCATGATCTCAGCTCACTATAACCTACACCCCCATGGGCTCCAGCAATCCTCCTGCCTTAGCCTCCCAAGTAGCTGGGACCACAGTCATGTGCTACCATGCCTGACTAATTTTTGTACTATTTTTGTAGAGACAGGGGTCTCACCATACTGCTCAAGCTGGTCTCACTCCTGGGCTTGAGAAATCCTTCTGTCCTGGCCTGCCAAAGTGCTAGGATCATAGGCATGAGCCACCATATCTGGCTGAAATCAGTATTCTGCTAAGATCAGTATTCTTTAGAAATAAAATTTTAAAATATCAGACAGCATCATTAGTAATAAATAGGGAGGTGGCCACTGCTCCATGAAGTGTTTGCTTCAGTTGCATTTGAGGTGGAGGCCCTATGGCTATATGGGTGTCCATGGTGGTTTAAGGTGTATTTCTTATTCTGAGTAATGCCAATTAAGTTTGGAAGTCCTATAATTACTCTTGTGCACATCCCCCAGAAAACAGGTGTAGGGTTTTTCATAACAGCATCATGAAAAATATAAAAAAACTGTACACAACTCAAATTTCCACTGATAGCAGAGATTAGAACACAGGATGGAATATTCTGGAATACTGTGAAGAGGAGTTCTGCAGCTATACATAACAATTTGAATGATTCTAAGAAACAAAATACTGAGTGAAAACAAAGTTACAAGATACTACATATATTATGCTTTATTTATAAAGCTAAGACAATACTGAAAGATCAATACAAATAACCAAAAGCATGGATCTTGAAGCCAGACTGTCAGGGTTCAAATCTTACCTCTGCCACTCACTGGCCATGTAACCTTGAGCAAGATACTTAACCTCAGTGCCTCAGTTTCCTCATCTGTGAAATGGAAATAAGAACTTACCTCATGGGGATTTTAGGATTAAAACCTATAAAGTGCTTAGAACAGTGAACATGAAATAAAAAAGAAACTCAAGAAGAAAGGATAGAATGAGCAATGTTTTAGTTTTTAAATTGGTAGTGAGTGAATGAGCATTAATTTTACACATTCAAAGATTTTTTGCATATAGCAAATATTAAAAATTTCAAACAGGAGTGAATTATGCCGAGGCTCTATGAACTCAGGCTTCCTGGTAAGCCACTGAAGGCAGATGACAATGACGGCCCGAGTCACATGTACCTGGTCCTCAGCTTGTCCCACACAGACTCAGCCCAGTTTTGGAGCAGGCCAAAGAGTGGTTTTTCTTCATACTGTTTGGCATATTGGGCCAGCATTTCCTGCCCCACAATCTGTAGAAAGAGTTTAGCACTCATCAGTCTCAGCAGTCTAAAAAATGACAGTGTCCTTAATACTGCAATCTGATAAGATGTATTTGTCGCTTAGAGAACTCCTTGGAAGGAATAAAATATAAGACCTGATTCTTACAAGGGCCTCTATTTCCCCAAGGCAAATGTGGAGCATTTATCACACCATTCCCCATCCTCCCCTGTGGTTGACTTTACTAACTACTTACTGTTCACTCTCTCTTCTTGCCTGTATCAGTCTCTAACACTGGTCCTGGGACCGACTATTTTAGCTGACACTTTAGTAAAAGCCACTTGCCTTCGTGAACCAGATGGCTGGTCCATTCTCTTTTTCACCCCTGACATTCTCTGGTCAATTAGCCCTTTGGGGAATAGTATTGAAATGCACAAATAAAACAGTCTCTATCCTCTATCAGTCTTCTACTTCAGCAACTTTAAAGTTATAATTTGGGCCTAAAATACTGCCTGCTTTTCTGCAGTGGTTCAAAGAAGATGTCTATGACTAGTCCATGGCAGAAACTCGGTTGATGCCTAGCAACAACCACTAGACATATGAGTGAAGTCACCTCGGACCGGTGTGTCCCTACCAAGCCCCGACACGCTGCTGCCACAGCATGAGTGCCCAGGAAAGACCAGTAGAACAGCAGAAAAACTACTGGGTGTGAGCCCAGCCCAAACTGCTGATCCTACAGAATCATATGCTAACAAACTGTTGTCTCAAAGCACGAAGTTTTGGGGTGGTATGTTACAAATCAATAGATAGCCTATTTATTCTCTTTCAACTATCAATTTCAGAATATTTCTTCTTTGCTAGATATGAATGCATGTTTTATATAGATCCTATAAAATGTTATGTATGCTTTCAATCAAGAGTATATCATAAATGACATTTTTGGTTTGCACTGTTATATAGAATTTTATTTGTTTATTTACTGGCTGTATAACTTTGTTTTGATAAATCATAGCTAATGAAACATTTCCATTTGGTTGAATACTTAGGTTGTTACCAGTTTTACAGTTGTCATAATAACCTTGATAGCAATATAGGCAGACATAGAGCATAGTCTTATTTTGTATTATTACCTGATAATAAATCCCCATGAACTTGATTGATACAGAGGTTCTGAAAGAGGGCCACCCTGCCAATAAGAGGGATGCTGAAAACTTTCAAGGCATTTTTGCCTAGGGGAGCTTTACTGGCATTAATGGGCAGAGCCAGGTGTGAAATGCACGGGACAGTCTCAACCAACAGAGGACTGTGCCATATCCCATGTCCTGTCAAATGCCATGTAGTCAAATACACGCAGGCAGTTAAGAGCCCTGAATTCAGTTACACCAAAGCTTTCAGGTTTTCCAAGTCCCAGGCATATGGAAAAATTAAACCCTGCTCCCTTGAAATTAGAGGTGCTTTAGGCCAGCACACAAGTGACACAGCCTCCTCTCCTTTCCCATTACCATGGCAACCTGCAATGCTCCCAGGTGTGACTGGTCCATAAGCCTGGGCATCTGCACTCAATGCTGCTCAATAGAGGCAGGAATTGTATGTCTTGGTGTATTTGTGTTTACTTTATTACTGAATAAATATATTTAATAATATATTTGTAATATAAATAACTTCCTTTTGGTTTCCTTAAGTATTGTCTTTAATTCCTACAGTTATGTCTCTAGATAGGTTATGTGATCCATGATTTCATTCAGGATAGTAAAAGGAGTGTTACAAAATATTTATTGTCAAAAAGAGGGCATTAGGTCCGTGAGATTGAGAATCACTGCATTAGGGTCGAAGAACATATACATTTTTATGACTGCTGCTATACAGAATAAGTGTGAGAATCAAACCCTGCCAGGACTTGGAAAAGTGGGGAAAATAAACTAACTTTAACTAGAATTAAAATTAAAATTATATAGCAATTCAATTCCACTTCACTAATACAACACCAGGATTAAGATTAACCCATGTTTTTGCTAATCTGTAAAATTTATGATAGTTGTAATGCTATCTCACTTTCACTGAGAAGCAATGTCATTCCAAGTAGGAACAAATTGCTTTCTCTGATTCCACCCCCACCCCTACAGCTTTCCTTTACTCTATTTTTCTCCACAGCATTTATGGCTTCTTGGTGCTACAGACTACAACTTGTTTACTGGCTTGCTGTCTTCCTGCAGCCTGGAAAGCAAGTGCTGGGGTCAAAGTGTGTTCATCCTTGTGCCATCAGACAATGTACTGCACAGAGCCTGGAGGTGAGGACTCACCCTTAAATGAGTGAATGAATAAGTATGTTCCGATCCTGTTCTCCGTATCTCATCCAATACGTCCAATTCCTTGATAGTCTCCTTTAGCATCAGTCACTACTTCCACTTTTTCCATTTAAGCAACTAAAATTGGGTAAAACTAACTCACTCTAATTGGGATCAAAATTAGAATGATAAAATAATCAAGTTCAGGTGCTAAACTTAAGAAAGACAAGGGAGATAAACATGGTCCTAACAACACAAAAGCAGATTACTTACTTTGGATCTTTGCTCCTTTTCTAGGTCATGAGACAAGGAAACGTGATTTTAAAAATGAGTTTATTTTCTGCTGTTGATGCCCCCTTGATGAAAGATTAAGTGATTGAAGCTGTCAGCTACCATGGGATTTGAGCATTACAGTCTCCAGATCCAGTACTTTATTTTATAAATTACCAGGCAGAGGCAAAGATAGATCAGTCACCACCTAGACTGAGTGTGCAATGAAGATGTGCTTGTTTAATCTCATAGATGTGTTCCTGAACATATTATATTATGTAATATATATGTGTGTGTGTGTATAATTTTTAATTATATTTAAAAATAATTGTAGACTCACAGAAGTTGCAAAGTTAAAACAGCACAGAATGATTCTCTCTAGCCATCACCCAGATTCCCCTAAAAAGTGATCTCTTGGCCAGGTGCAGTGGCACACGCCCATAATCCCAGGACTTTGGGAGTTCAAGGTGGGTGGATCCACCTGAAGTCAGGAGTTTGAGATCAGCCTGGCCAACATGGTGAAACCCCGTCTCTACTAAAAGCATAAAATAATTACCTGGGTATGGTGGTGCATGTTTGTAGTCCCAGTTACTGGGGAGGCAGGAGAATTCCTTCAACCCAGGAGATGGAGGTTGCAATGAGCTGAGATCGCCTCACTGCACTTCAGCCTGGGTGACAGAGTGAGACTCTGTCTCCAAAAATAAAATAAAAAAGTGATCTCTTACATAATAATGGAGACTATCAAAACCAAGAAATTCAATACAATTTTTATTCATTACATGTGTTAGTTCTAGAGATTTCATTAGTTAAAATGGACCTAGTGGAAGATTGTTTTGTAAAGTGAAACATTATTTTCGGCAAACAAGTGATTACATTCTCCTCTAAGTCTGGTGTTTTACTTCTTCCAGATTTTTTTAAGACAACTTGTGATAGGTGATTGTGGGTGGTGTTTCTGTCTCTTCTGCAGTTCTCTGGTTCTGCACGTTCTGCTGGTCCTGCACTGTTTATTTTCATATACACCTGCCCAGGAGCCCCTTTCTTAGTAGAACTCTAGGGTGAGTGAGCAGTCAAAACATCCATGTTCTTTTCTTTTAAAAAGGATCCCATTCAGAGGAGGAATCAAGCAAATCTACAGCCAACATTTGGAAACTATGAGTCTTAGCAATTGTGCAGAGTGATGACATCATCAACATGCATTTGCAATAAATATCATACGCATCATGCAACATGATTATGTAATACCAATAAAAGTCATTTTTTAGGTCAAAACGCTTTTCAAGGCATCTGCGAAGCAACCAGCATTTCCACACACTAAATATTTCACTGATTTATGCTAGGTACAGTGAAACTTGGATTAAAGAGCCTGACAAGTAGAAGTTGCTGCCAAGGCAGAAACACTTAGAGCCAATTATAATAGAAAAATGTGATTTCTAAGGAAAATCCACCAGATATACATTATGAATCCAGGCAGTGGGGCCGCACTTGGGTTTGTACCATAGAGTGGTAGATTCACTCAAAGTAGCAGTACTTAATGGTAGTGGGCCTGAAATCATGCTCCAAAGAGCTCTAGGTAGACTGGCTACATAATTTGGGGCCCAGCACAAAACAAAAATGCAGGTCCCCTTGTTCAAAAATTATCAAGAATTGTATGATGGTGAGAAGAGAGCATTAAACCAAGCATGGTCCCTGCTGAGTGCAGGGTTCTGCACCACTGCACAAATCTCACCCCATGAAGCTGGCCCTGGCCCTGGGGGTTCTAATAGGATTGCCAGATAAAAGAAAGGACACCCAGTTTATATTTGGACACCCAAATATTGCATGGGAGATACTTATATGAAAATAATATTCATGTTTATCTGAAATACAAATGTAGTTGGGCATCCTATATTTCTGTTTCCTACATCTGGCAAGCCTAGGTTCCTAAGGGCTTTTCAGAGGTCACCTAGGGGTATGAGAATGAAGAAAAGACCAAGTGGATATGAATTTTCACCATCATGCATTTTAACTCTTTACTTTTAGATGCTGGACATTTCATCAAGGCAAGATTTCTTTGAGGATAATCTTTAAAACTTCCTTGGATAGAAGAAATAATAGAAAGAGATGGAGGGGATGACAGAAGAAGAAGGGAAGGAAGAGGAGGGAAGGCAAATAGAGGAGAGGAAGAGAGGAGAAAGACTAGAGGAGGAGGAGAAGAGGGAGAAGAGAGGGGAGGGGAAAGGGAAGAGGAAGGACTACTTTAGTACAGAAACCAACCTGTAAGCAGCTCTGAGTAATTGCTGGCCTTAAACATGGATTTGACGCTGGAACCTGGGAGGCAGAGATTGTAGTGAGCTGAGATTGCACCACTGCACTCTAGCCTGGGCGCAGCACGAGACTCCATCTCAAAAAAAACCAAACCAAACAAAACCAAACAAAAAAAACCCATGGATTTGAACTTCAAACCAGGAAGGATGGATGGATCTGAAGCAGCAAAAATT